AAAAACTAAAAAAAATCCATTTTCAAATTTAGCAATTAAAAAAAATTTTACGTAAAAAAATTTATTATTTTTTAATATTTTATCATGGAATCATTTCCAATCATTGTCCTTAAAAAAAGGGATATAAACCTTATAAAAGTAGTCAAAACCACTTGACCCATGAGATCAAGTTCAAAAATTAAAGTTTTTTTTATCAAAATAAAAAGATCAAATTCAAATTTTAACCCATAGATATTTATGAACTCACTCTTTTAATTCGGGAAAGTAATTATTGGTTCAAGTGTAATTTTTTTAAAAAGTTTATAAATATATTAAAGATGATCATGGGATGGATGGAATAAGACGTACTTATGTTCTTAAGTTCACACCGTATGTATATAATACGCTTCAGTGCTTCACTGTTAACTTTTTCCTTGCTCGCCTTAAATTGAAATTTAAGATTTTTAACATAAACTAAGATGATTATTTGGAGACAAATAATAAATTGATTAGTTGGGTTAGAAAATATAAAAATACCACAAAAATAAAAAATATTTTACAAATTAAAAATTCTGTCCCCTCTTCCCTTCTCTTCCTTTATTTAAATATAACTTAGAAGAATTCAAAGAACTAAAAGTAAATGGTTTTCTCTCCTTCAACTGTTTGGACAAAATAAAGAAATTATCATCTCCAGCTTTTTTTTTTTTAATCAAATATATTTTAAAAGCAAATGTTACGACATAAAATTTAAAATTCTACACCCAAAACCCTATTACTCCCTTTTGGGGATTAGGGTTACCCCAAAAATTCCCATAGTTTTTTTTTTCTTAATAAAAAAAAATGGTTGAAGTAGTTTGTAACTAGACAGTAGATAACTGGCGATGGAATTTCTTTGGGTCTAAGCTAAATTGTTCATCAATCATTTTCTTTTATAATCATATTGCTTGATTTGAGGTTTTTATACTTTTTAGAAAGTTGCTGGACATATGCCATTTTTTTTTTAATGGGTGGATAAGCCATGATTTGAATATAAAACGAAAACGACTTCAATATAGAGCGTTAAAAAAAGGGTCATTAGATACTGGGATCGTTTGAATCGATATTTATTTGTCTAATCTCGTGTCATATTAAAGTATAAAATTATTGCAAATAAAAAAATTATTAATATCATAGTACATGAATTTATTTTTCGAATCATAATAAATTATAAAATAAAAATAATAAAATAAAATAAATTTAAATTTAAATATTAAAATTAAAATTCACTTTCTATCTAATAATTTTATATTGTACGAAACATTTTTAGGGAAGTGTTGGGATTAGGCCCAACACCCACTTTAGACCACATATAGCAGACCCAACTATGCGCCCACAGTCCCGAAAAAAGGAGACATACCCACGTGGGCCAATGAGATGTTCACGCGTACAGATGCATGTCAGCATTTGAGGCTATAAATACCCTCCAACTACTTTCGATGAAGGTAATTAATCTCTACGCTTCTCTCTTTGCAATTACTCCTTGAGAGCATCTCTCTCTAGAATATCGAGTATTGCTAATTTGAGCGTCGGAGAGTCTTTCTCGAGAAAACATCCTCAGGATTTTCAGGTGTAGAAGCAGCTGAGGATTTCAACAGTGTTGGACTGCGAAGCTACCCAAACATTTGGCGCCATCTGTGGGAAACTTGAACAAGAAGTTGTGTAGCTTAACCTACTAAAAGACAAAATGGTTCATACTTTTACAGGAGGTCGCCCTCCAAGAAATGAAATGGATGAACAAGAGGACATTCAACTGCCTGAGCCCGGCTTGAATGATTTTAGGCCAATGCCTAGAAACCTTTTTGTTGGAGGAGCAGAACAGGATCAATTAAGTGAAACAGATGATGATGAAAGAACACCAACTGGGTATGCAACTCAGCTTGAACAGTTCCAAGTTCCAACAGGAACAAGACAAAAACATTCTAGACCATACAGTTCACAACATGAACGACCTGAAAGGTCAACAGAACCTACTCGAACGATCAAGCTCGAAGAGAGAACCAGAGTTCTCGAAATGGCAATGGGTAAAATCATTGCCCGCCTGATCCCCGATGATCCCCTGATTCCTTTGTTGAACAGGGATGCACAACCAGCTGCGGTTGTTGCCACTCGAAACTCCCCCGCTCTGAGCAATGTAGTAGTGCCAACCAAACCAAGGGGAAGTGGGAGGTTCAACAACGAGCTTAGCTCGTCAAAACATAGTGAAGAACTGATAAGCAAGAATGCAGACCTCAAAAGGCAGTTACGGGACGTACAGAAATCCATCGACGAGCTAAAAAGCCCCAGGTTGCATCAACAAACTCTTGATTTGGATAGTGCCCCATTGAACCTATCCATCACAACGGAACCGTATCAAGAGGGGTTCAAAATCCCCCACTTAGAGACATATGATGGCTCAGGTGACCCTGATGAGCATCTTCACACCTACCAAGCCATCATGAGAATCCAAAACGCTAATGATGCCATGATGTGCAAAGTGTTTCCAGCGACACTTAAGTCAACAGCCAAGAGGTGGTATCACAAACTCCTCAGGCATTCTATAGACTCATATTCCCAGCTCGCCAAGCTATTCTCCAACAAATTTGTGAGCCAAAGAGAGATTAAACGCACAGCGACCGAGCTGATGCAAGTTCATCAGAAAGAAGGGGAATCTCTTAGGGACTACATGCAACAATTCAACAAGGCAACTTTAGAAATTGATAACGTCCTTGATACCATCTACTTGTCTGCCTTGCTGCATGGTTTGAAGCGTGGTCGGTTCCTAGATGACTTGCTAGAAAACCCACCGAAGACGTGGAACGAAGTGAATGACAGGTCGGCTAGCTTCATATTGTCAGAAGACTTCCAATCGTCCAAGCGACGAGCTGACGATAAGCAGGGCAAGAGCCAGGAACAACCACCAAGGAGAGAAGAAAAGAAAAAGCAGAAAGTCAATGAGCTATGGGGGAAGCCAGCTGAATTCCTGAAATATGCTAACTACATCTCTCTGACCTTGCCCAGGTCTCAAATCCTGGCACAAATACAGCACTGGATTAGAAGACCCTCGCTCCCATTGCACGATTCCCCGAGAGCAAATAACAGTAAACATTGTGACTACCATCGTGTGTATGGCCACAATACAGAAGACTGCCAGGATTTAAAGGACGATCTAGAGTTCTTAGCTCGCAGTGGAAAATTAGAAGGATATGTCCAAAAGCCTCATACCCAGCAACCAACTCAAAATCACTTTGTGCAGGGGTATGACCGACCTCAGGGGCAGAGGTACCAGCTCGACAACACATAGGACATGTATCAAGATAACCAATATCCTTCTGAGCAAGGCAGAGCGTACAGGGGCCGCCAATTCAATAGGCGCGGCCAAGGTCAGAGACCTACCACCCAGAACCAAAAAGATAGGAGAGGAGTTGGGTGCAGTGCGATACCCCCATTGTCTGGCACAATCAACATGATCTCTAATGGTATGCACTCAGAGGGCCAAAGTGCCCGGGCCCGTAAGGCATAAGCCCGGCAGGTGATGACCGTCAATAAAAACAGGCCCCTGAAGAGGCCATTCGAGGAGGCGGAGTGGGAGAATGTAGCTATCACATTCAGCCCGGCCGATTATAAGCGAGCAGATGGAGAGCCCGACGTGATGATGCCTCACGCAGATCCATTTGTGGCAATAGTCCATATAGGCAATCATAACGTCAACAAGGTCTTTATTGATACGGGTAGCTCGCCAGATATCCTTTATTGGAGCTGCTTCCAGAAGATGCAGTTGAATCCGAGCTCGCTGCAGAAATATGAAGGGTCCATCTACGGGTTCGATAATCAGCCCGTCCCGGTTGAAGGAGTCATTACTCTACTCATATATGTGGGCTCAGAACCGCGATTTAGGATGGCTTCTATTAGCTTTCTGGTAGTCAAGATGGAGTCAGCTTTTAACGCCATATTAGGAAGGGCTACTTTATGCGAGCTGAAGGCTGTTATCTCACAACCCCATCTCTGCATGAAATTCCCAACGCCTCAAGGGGTAGGAGTGGTAAAGGGGAATCAGAAGATGGCCAGGGCATGTTATCAAGATACATTTAAGAAGGTTGAGCTCGCCGTAGCCCCGAGAGGCTCCTCAGAAAGTAGTCGGCCGACTCAGCCTGGCCAACAGACAATGAGCATATCGGATATTGAGCATAGACCTGAGGGTGTCGAGCAGCAAGCAGAGCCGGTAGAGTCAGTAGAAACAGTTCCTTTAAACCTTGATGTGCCGGAAAGAACAGTCAAGATCGGCACCAAGCTCACAGAAGAAGAACGAGTAGAGCTTCTGGAGTTTTTGAGGGTTAATCAAGATGTGTTTGCGTGGACTACGGATGAAATGCCTTGCATCCCAGTAGAGTTAACAGTCCACAAACTCAGCACAGACCCTGCCAAAAGGCCGGTGGTGCAAAAGCATCGCCTTTTTGGCCCTGAGAAGCAGGTTGCTATAGATGAAGAAATAAAAAAGCTGCTACAGGCAGGCTTCATTAGGAGAGTGGAATACTCTGAGTGGGTATCCAAGCCGGTGCTCATCAAAAAACCAAATGGCAAGTGGCGGATGTGTATTGACTTCACCAACTTAAATGAGGCATGTCAAAAAGACCCTCATCCCTTTCCAAATGGGGAAAAACTAGTAGAGCGGGCAGCCAGACATGAACGGATGAGTTTTCTTGATGCCAACTCGGGTTATCACCAAGTTCAGTTGTTGCTAGACGACCAGGAGAGAACAGCTTTTTATGCTGATGACGCAATCTACTACTATGTCATGATGCCGTTTGGCCTGAAAAATGCTGGCGCGACATATCAAAAGCTGGTGCAAATCATCTTTAAGCTCCAAATTGGCAGGAACATAGAAGTGTATGTAGACGACATGATAGTCACCAGCGTGCGAGTTGAGGATCATATCGACGACCTGAGTAAGATCTTTCAAAACTTGTGCCGAGCCCAAATGAAGCTGAACCCCCTGAAATGCACATTTGCAGTAGAGTCAGGAAAATTCTTGGGGTACGTAGTATCCAAGAAAGGAATTGAAGTAAATCCAAAGAAGGTTCAGGCCGTTCAGCAGATGGAACTGCCCAAGACTGTCAAAGATGTGCAATGTTTAACGGGTCGTGTCGCTGCGCTGCACCGGTTTCTAGCCAGGTTGGCAGAAAGATGCCTCCCGTTCTTCAAAGCCCTACGAGAGCCCAAGCACTTTCAATGGACTGACGAGTGTTAGTGGGCGTTTGACGAGCTCAAACAATATCTGGCATCAGCACCCCTGCTGTCCAAGCTTGTGGAAGGGGAGAGTTTACACCTGTACCTGGGGGTTACAGAAGAGGCAGTGAGCTCAGTTTTGCTCAGGGAGGAGAATAAGAATCAGAAGTTTATCTGCTATGTGAGCAAGGTTTTACAAGGTGCCGAGCAGAACTACCCATTAGCAGAAAAGGCTGCTTTTGCCCTGGTTTACACAGCTCGTAAGTTGAGAGCTTATTTCCAATCACATCAAATTATCATCTATACCAACCTGCCGTTGAGAAAAATACTGTAGAAACCGAAACTCTCTGGTTAGCTTATTGGGTGGAGTGTCAAGCTGAGCGAATATGACCTCAAATTTCAACCGCGCACAACCATAAAAGGCCAGGCCGTTGTAGACTTTTTGGTGGAGTGCATCTCAGCAACTGAGGAAGAAAAAGCACCCGAACACCCAGTCTGGGTCTTATATGTTGATGGAGCAGCTAACGTTGAAGGATCGAGTGCTGGGGCAGTGTTATTAGGCCCAGACGGCTTTAAATCCGAGCACGCATTGAGGTTTAAATTTCAGACCACTAATAATGCTGTGGAGTATGAAGCCCTTGTTTATGGATTGAAGCTGGCGTCCGAGCTGAAGGTACAGAGCATTCAGGTTTTTAGTGACTCTCAGCTCGTGGTGGGCCAAGTGAATGGCAGTTGTGAAATCAAGGATCCCCAGCTCGGTCGTTATGCCTCTGTGGTCAACAGATTGAAGTCAAGATTTGTTTCTTTTCAAATTGACAAAATATTAAGGGCAGATAACCACCGAGCTGACGAGCTGTCGAAGTTGGCCTCCTCGCAGAACCTTAACCCTCAGAGATCAACAATTGTTGAGGTTCTTGACGCCCCAAGCTACATCGATTTCACAATCGAGTGTCAGCTGCTCAGCACAGATCCCTCTTCACCGAGCTGGACTACCCCACTCATAAATTATCTGCAAAGTGGCGAGTTACTTGAAGACCCATCCACTGAAAAGTTGATTAAACGCAGGGCGGCACACTTCACTTTGTTAGATAACCAACTCTACAAACGAGCAGCCTCAATGCCCCTATTACGCTGTCTCACTCCTTATGAAGCTGAATACGCTGTGAGAGAAGTTCACGAAGGAGTATGTGGCACCCACATAGGTGGTAGAACTTTAGCTCGGAAACTCCTGAGGCATGGGTATTACTGGCCAACTATGGTTGAGGACGCATAGAGCTATGTCAAAAAGTGCCTGACCTGCCAGTTCACTGCTGACGCTATTCACATGCCAGGTATCTGAGCTCGTTCTAAAGTTCATGCAAACTTCATGTTTGTCTATAAACTGAGCATAAGTATCTTCGTTGAAACAGGAGAAATGCTCTCGTCACTCTCATCTCCCTGGCCTTTTGCTCAATGGTGGGTCGACTTGCTCGGCCCTTTCGTGAAAGGCAAAGGAGGTTGCACTTACCTCGTTGTCGCGGTGGATTACTTCACCAAATGGATAGAAACTAAACCATTGTCCACGACAACAGAAAAGAAAATAAAAGAATTCTTGTTCAATTTATGGCTCAGCTCGATCATTTGTATACAGGTTTGGCATACCGAAGTGAATAATTGCTGACAATGGTCCACAGTTCTGAGCCATGGCACTGAGGTCGTTCTGCAACGACTATGGCATTGAGCTAGCTTTTACATCCGTGTATACTCCACAGTCAAATGGACAGGCCGAGTCTGCCAATAAGGTTGTCTTGCGAGGCCTCAAGACACGTGTTCTAGCCGCACGATCTAATTGGGTTGACGAGCTCAATAAAGTACTTTGGTCGTGCCGCACTACACCTAGCTCGGCCACAGGCGAATCTCCATTTAACCTTGCCTATAGAGCTGAGGCTGTCATCCCAGTAGAGGTTGGACTGCCATCTGGTAGACCAGGCCAGCATGACGATCACAACAATGAGCAACTTTTGAGAGAGAACCTAGACCTTGTAGAAGAGGTTAGGGAGATGTCTCGAATAAGAAACATGGCGTATCAAGGTCGTGTAGCAAAATTCTATAATAAGAGGGGTCCGAACTCGTTAGTTTCAGGTTGGCGATCTGGTATTACGTAAGGCTGGATTAACCAACACATATTCACACATGGGCAAGCTTGCTCCTAATTGGGAAGGTCCATACATGGTCGCTCAAGTTAACCGACCTGGATCTTATATATTAGCAGATATGAACGGGCGCCAGTTACCGTTTACATGGAATGTTCAGAACCTTAGAAAATTTTACAGTTGATTTGTATTCTTGTTGAATATTTAAAGAACTTAAATAATGTATGAGCAATGCAAATAATACACACATCTTTTCCAAAAATTGTTTAAGTTGTATTCCTTGCAAATCAATTACATGAGGTGTCAACAAAACTACAAAATGTGTTTCAAACAAGGAAATACTGAAAATAAAAAAGTCTAAGAAACAGAAAAAGCCTAAGTCTAGTCATCCGTTAAGTCAATGGGTGCGGATGGATCAGTACGAGCTGGGATGGGGATGGCAGCAGGGACGAGTTGAGATGCGGGAGGAGTACTTGAAGGTTCAGCTTCTTCTACAGGAGTGTCACCCACCCAGGAGTCAAACCTTGGCAGGTTCTCAAACTCCTCTCATTCTTCTAGAATATAGGGTGGCCATATAGGCAATCCCTCTTCGTTTAGCTCCCAGCGGACCCTCACCGTCATATTAGCAGGAGTAGCGAGGCTCTTCCCCTCCGCATCGAACTCTTCACCTTCAAAAACGCGAGCTTGTTGATCGGGAAGTTTGGCCGGTGCTTCAACACTTTACCACGAACGTCATTGTAAATCTCAGTCGTGGTGTTCATGGACGGCACAGCTACGACATCTTGGAACATGTCAGCACCTACCAACCATTCCGCACCTTGAGCTCGCGCGATGCTAATGCAGCGTTGGTGTTGAGCTTTAGCCTTCCTTAGTGAGTCCTCTGCGCAAGCAAGGTCTTGGTCGGCCACAGCTACCCAACTTCTTACGGCGTTGAGGTCATTCAGCGCGCCATTTCTTTCAGCTTCAACCTTCTTCGTGCGATCTACCGCACGAACGACCTCATCCATGGCCGCCTGGATTCCGCACTCCTTCTCGGCCTTCACCTTATCCAGCTCCTCCTGTAGCTGGTTGACCTTGTTGGCTAGCTTGTCAGCCCGGCTTTCGGCTGATGCAGCTCTGTTGGCCATCTCTGAGCTCTGCAATCGATTCACCTCGTCCTCCAAACTCGCTTTGTCTGAGGTCAACCGCTTGCAGCTGTCAGCTAGCTCCCGATTTTGTATACGAGCTGCCTGCTCGCTCTCAAATAAAGCTACAGAGTAGCTTAGCGCCTGTAACAACACTTCTATAGTCAGTCTTTATCCCAAAATTACAACAAAAAATACATTCGTCTAGAAAAATACTCACATCCATCATCTTCAACATTGCAGCGTGGCTCTCGTGCTGTTGGATATAACCTTTGGTGCGCTGACGGTCCACAAGTAGGACAAAGCTCTGCATACCCTGGACCATAGCGAGCTGACAATCTGGCTTAGTGTAGCTAAAGCCCTTAGGGTATGCGATTCTAGGGCCCCCACTAGCTGCTGGTGGGGGAAACATCGCAGCCGTGCTGCGTGTCTGAACAGCAGGCGCCTCAGGTGAGCGCACCGCTCTGGGTTGACTCCCAGTATTCAATCTGCGCCGAATCAGTGGTACATCATCTTTGGCATCGGAGTCTTCGCGAGCGCGCCTCCGGATCTCAGCAGGAACTATTTTTTACTTTGCGCTCAGCCTGTGGCCGTGAGGCCGAGCTGGAGCCTTGCTCCCTATGTGACGAGCTGCGAGGTGCTGTAGGGGGTAGCTCGTCAAAGCGTGTTTGCCTCTTGGTGCTGGACCTAGTCCCCCTACCATGTGAACGCTGAGCTCGTTCGCATTGCCTCTCGAGCATGCTACTCATATCTCCTGCACAAACACATGCAATAAGACTCAGCTCGTGAAAAAAGTAATTTACAATAGAGTTGTACCTTCATTAAACAGGTTTGTGACATCCACAAACCCACTCAACGCAAGCAGCTCAGGGCTAACCAGGGCTTCCAAATCAACTAACCCCTCTCCCTTCACATAGTTGGTTATCCTATCCTTAAGCTCCAGGTTGCCTGGGGTTAGTGTGGGGTAGTTCATGTACGCATACCCTGGGCGCCACTCAGAGAGACGAGCTGCCAGATCGGTGCTAACCCTCTCTATTCGCGTATCCCGGACAAAGATAAATTGTCTCTTCCAACTAGACACCTTATTCCTCACGTTCTTAAAGATCCCCATTTTTTCCTGCCCAGAAATGTAGTACCACCTCGTCTGTGTGGTACTCAGCCGGCATAGAAAGAGCGACCTGAACACAATGGCTTTTGCAGGTATCTCCAACCTCGCGCACAACAGCATAAATCCTATTATAAATTTTATGCTGTTAGGGGTTAGTTGTGTTAACGCCAGCTCGTACTCTGAGAGAAGATCAAAAATCAGCCCGGGCAAGGGGAATCTCAGGCCGACATCGAAGTGGTCCACATATACGGGTATCCACCCTGTTGTTGACACACTGCAGGCCCTTTCATTCTTGGTGCCAGTTCGTAACAAAACTATCCTAGGAACGTGATACTGTCTCACCACGTCCTCCAGTCTCTTATACCCTTTAATGGAGGTAGCACAATCTGCTACCTCATGATGCAGGTTCTCCCTAAACCTAAATCCGACCGTCAATGTATGTGGCGCTTTGCGAAGATTGCTCAGCCTGCCACTTATGGCTTTATTCTCCCAACCCGCAACCGCGGGTACATTTACGGCCACCTCCATGCTTTCCAACGAGGGGCTATTTGCACTGGCAGTGTTTTCTGATGACGACCCTTCAGATGATGGAGAAGGGTTAGCACCAGAGCCCTCGTGCGCGCCTGAACTGGCACTGCTCTCCAACGTAAGGGTTTCCAGCAAGTCCTACAGTTCCTGCGGTACAACCATCGTGATTGGTTCTACGAATATCACGCTCTCTTCCCCTTCTACGCCTTAGTTACCTCGGAGTTCTCCTACTTCGCTAACAAATTCCATTTGTTATTACCTAAAAAATAGACTCTGAAAACTGAAAATGTCGCATGGAAATTTTCGAAGTCCTTTGTCGTAGAGGAATGCAGAGAATATGGAAATGGAATGCCAAAGCAAGGACAGAGGTGACAGAGGGGTTAAGCGACCGTGCCCATCATTACCATACACGCCTCTCTGGTAACCAATCAAAATGCTACGCGTGGCAAGTACTTATTGCTTGGCGTGTAACGTCCGTCGGCTTTAGCTGTCATGTCTCTTCAAACGCTGAGCCAGCATTTATTAGGGGGGGATTGAGAATATTAACCGCGCTGAACCATATCTCTTTAGAGATTTCACAAATTTAAATTTCAAAAAGTGACAATGACCAGCTCATAACAAATCTCCTCAGAGATCTGTCCTAATTCAAAATTTGAAAAGTTTGAGAAATCTGCTCGTAACTAATCCATGAACTCCCTAGAGATTTCAAATTCGATCAGGTCGTAACAAATCAGAGATTTCAAACTCGAAAACCTGTAGAGATCAAGTCGTATCAAATCAAGGATTCACCTCAGTCTCGAACATCAAGCGTCAGATCATAACTAACTTACTCAGATTCACTCTGCATCCACATATCTATATTTCAGTGATGAGTAAGGTCACCCATCTCAGCCCGTATGGGTCGGTTGGTTCAGCTCATTCCCTATATGCTAGCCATCATTCTGCTAAAGAGAATCCATCAGACGAGGTCGTCCGTGTGCATCTGCTCAGCTCGTTGATCAGCGCCAAGCTCGCCGTGCATGACTGCCAGCTTACTCACACCTGCTCTGCAGGAGGTCGGCATGTACGTACGCATCAGACTCGACCACCTTGGTTTCAAGCTGCTCAGATCGACCGTGCATGAGGTCGGCCATGAACACAAAACATTACTCTTCATCCTCAGGGTCAAACACCACACTAGCAAGACTCTCGACCCAGTTCGTCAACCGAATGCTGAGGGGGGGAGTAATGTTGGGATTAGGCCCAACACCCACTTTGGGCCACATATAGCAAGCCCAACTATGCGCCCACAGTCCCGAAAAGAGGAGACATACCCACGTGGGCCAATGAGATGCTCACATGTGCAGATGCATGTCAGCATTTGGGGCTATAAATACCCCCCAACTACCTTCGATGAAGGTAATTAATCTCTACGCTTCTCTCTTTGCAATTACTCCTTGAGAGCATCTCTCTTTAGAATATCGAGTATTGCTAACTTGAGCGTCGGAGAGTCTTCCCCGAAGAAACATCCTCGGGATTTTCAGGTGTAGAAGCAGCTGAGGATTTCAACAGTGTTGGACTGCGAAGTTGCCCAAACAGGAAGAATATTATTATATTGTTATGACAACTTTCAATCAATATTAACATTTCCTTTCCATCGAAAAAAATATAAACTTTTCCTAAATGCACCATTTTCCTCGTGAGCTTCTTTCTTCTATTATATTCATTAACTTTCCCTTAATTTTAGGTTATGTACAGAAATGATCCAGCTCAATTTGACCCTTGAAGCCCACATATCCCCACCGTCCATCATAAAAATAAAAAATCCGATTCCACCCGCCCGCGACCTGTACACGGCGTCCCACCTTCTCACCCCACCTATTATAAAACCCCCCACTATGCTACCTCTCAAATCACACCTCAAACCATCCTGAGCTCTCTCTTTGCTTTACTTCAGCTATTTCATTCACCTCAAGTTTTAACCATGGCCGAGGAGAAGCACCACCACAGCCTCTTCCACCACAAGAAGGATGACGAAATCCCTGAGACTGAAGCTGATTACAAGAAGGAGGAAAAGCATCACAAGCACCTTGAGCACCTTGGTGAGGTGGGAGCTGCTGCAGCTGGCATATACGCAGTGGTAATGTTAATTTCTTCTTTTAGCGATCTCATGCAAGCAAGATAATTACATGCCATGCAAATTAGAGAATAAGTTCATGATTAATGCAAACTTTACACCACCTAAACATGATCCCTCAGCTAAATGCAAGAAAATTTTTTTAATACTCAATCGAATGATCCATATATATAATTGATCAAGTTCACCTATGTATTAGTAATAACTTGAACTTGAGTTTTTAAAAGCTCTAATAATTCTTATTTTAGCGGATGCTTTAGCCCAAATCATCATGATGAACATTCAAGATGCCCTAAATAGGTAAAAAAAATGATTATATAATTATTAAGTGTAGATCAAAGGAGATCAAGGATCATTTAGGTTCTAGCATGGATTCTTTGACCTAATTAAATAAATTTTTTAAACAACGCTAACAGTCTCTAAATTTTTTTTCTTTTAATTTTCAGCATGAGAAGCACAAGGCAAAGAAAGACCCAGAGCATGCTCACAAGCACAAGATAGAGGAGGAGATTGCAGCGGCAGCCGCGGTGGGAGCTGGCGGTTTTGCCTTCCACGAGCACCATGAGAAGAAAGAAGCAAAGGAAGAAGCGGAGGCAGCTAGTGGAAAGAAGCACCACCACCTCTTTTAATTAAAATCAATTTTCTCTCTGCTATATTAATTTGTGTGTGTGATGACCACCAGTATGCAACTACCCAAATAACTTTGCTTTGTGAGTGTTGTGGGTTTTGTGAATTAATGCTTATAATTTCTATGTGTGTTTCCTTTGTTTGAAGTATAAATTATCTAATTTCTCAGTCTATCTGTGGATCTCTATCTTTGTACCTATTCTCTATTATGACAATAAATTATATAAGGATATTTGAGAGAGATGAACTTGATCACTTCTCGTTTTTTATTTTTTTATTTTTTAACTTAATTCTATTTTTATTTTACAATGAATTATTTGATTATTTCTTTGTCAACTGAAAAGGCAGCAAGACCTTAGCATTAAATGACACGAAGGAGAAACGATTTGATCTAACCATAGCTGGCATTAATTTTCTTCTATAATTAAGTTCTTGAGCTGGAAAAAATAATTATATGGTTGATTATTTTCTAGACATGTTGAGAAGTCAAGTGAATACACCTAATATAGCGGTTTGGATGCCTTAGGTGCAGGTCGTTTTAATTTTTCTGACACCCCCATGGAGATTACTCCTAGTGTTGGTTTTTTTTTTTTGGAATAGAAATTACTTTTAGTTTTTTTTTTTGTTCAATTTGGACTAAAAAAATATTTTGATTCAGATAACTACAATTCTAAGATGTGGCAAGAAAAAAAAGGTCAAACTAAATTTTATATATGGCTGTGGTTTTTCAAACAAAAAAAATGACGTGCGTGCAATTTGCACAATATAAATTATTTATCTTATAATTATTAACGAGGGGTAGACTCTTTAAATGTGAGGTGATTCTTTTCCTCCATCAAAGGTCATTGTTATCCGATTATAAAACTGCTTTCTCTTTTTCAAATAAGCAATTTATCAATGGACATATAAAAATGTAGGTAGAAAAAACACTTTAAAATATGTTATTTTAATAATGCACCATCCATGAGATTCAATCAAAGTTTATTGAAAGGTAATTTTTCATTCTAATTTTATTGTAACTCCAAATAATAAATATTTTTCTAAGATACATTGACCATCCTAACAAAAACTAAATTAAATTGAAATTAACTAACAAAATAAGAAAGAAAGAAAGAAAAATGTGATCCATGACCTCATCTCTCTTAATTCCCATTTCTTTTCTATGTTCCTTGACTCAAAAAAATTCCAAGGAGAGAAGGAGGGACTAGAAAATTTTATCTATCACAAACTAGGATTATTGATCTTTAGTGTTGAAATCTCCACTCAAATAATTAAGCAGTAGTAACTTTATTGGCCTCTTTCATAGTAGTAACATGAAATTCCATGGAGAGAAGGAGACTAGAATATTTCATCCACCGCAAACTAGGATTATTGATCTTTAGGGTAGAAATCTGCACTCAATAATTAAGCAGTAGTAACTCTTATGGCCTCTTTCATACGGGTAACATGAAATTCCATGGAGAGAAGAAGACTAGAAAATTTCATCCATCACAAAATAGGATTATTGATCTTGAAATTAATAAAGTCTCAACATATAATTCACATGTGAATGCTTTGACTCGTGAGGATCATTGTGTAGAACCTTCAAAAGGAAACAAATCAAATGGCGATAATGCTTCAGAGGAAAATCAGCAATCAAAGAAATTGTAAAATGCAACCGTCATCTCTCCTCAAATAATTAAGCAGTAGTAACTTTATTGGCCTCTTTTATGGTAGTAACATGAAATTCTGGTAGCAATCAGGATCAGTATACCATCAGTTTGGAATGGCAGATGAAGGAAAATTAGGTGTGGAATTAATTGATTCACAAACCTATAAAATTTCCATCTCCCCGTGATGCACGTTTCATGAAGTTCGATTCTAAACCATCCATTGCTACACCATTAGCATGCAGATTGGCCCATTGACGATGATGACTCCAATGGTGGCTCTCTGTGTCTATTCTAAAATTCGAACTTCAAATTTCCTCAAATTTGAAGTTTCTTGACCCTTAGAAACTACTAACCTCTCATCATATATTATCTAATTTGTACATCACTTTCCTCGAATATGTACCAATTTTGAATGAGCTCTAACACATGAACCTGAGTAGGTTTTTAGATTGCTTCATCTAAAAAGGACTTTAAACATGTAGAAGTTTTTTGAGACTGACTTTTTTATGAACAAATCTTACACAAATATGGGAAAAAGAAAAAATTTAAGACATCTTAATATTACTAATAACTTGATATTTTTAATGTTAAGTTTTCTTGATTTTTCTTTTTATCCTTAAATATAACTTAAAAAATCAAGAACATAGGTTATAAGTTCATAGATTGTGGTCCTCTAGGTGCTGTCCTCGAGTGGAACCCATGTTCGTTTGTCTCTGTGCCCATATTTTTTCAAACCCAATGAATCAAATGTCCTTTTCATCACAATTGAAAAAACAAAATGACGATTGGAGGAAGACTAAGAGAGAGACTCATGAGTTACAATTTCCAAACCTATGTGTATCCACACCACACATTCTACAATTAGAGTCCTGGTCCTAGATAGAAGAACTGCTGGAGAAAGAGAGAGAGAGGCTGGCTGAAATCTGCACAGCTGCAAGCACTACAATTGGAGCAAAATTATCTAAAATTAAGGTGTAAGAGAAAAAGGCCTTACCCTCTATCTTTCCTAGTTCCGTCCCTGCTAAGCACTATTGGAGAAAAATTGGATTAAGGGAAAGCCATTAAGCATGTGGTTTGACTTTGATACTAAAGATGATACACTACATCATGATTAAGTTATCATCAATTATTTGCTAATAAAAAAAACTTAATTATTATCATCAATTATTTCGTTTCTGGGAACATATTATTTATAAACAACCAAACTTAAATTTGATCCAACTAAGGAGATCTCGGTGTCTTGTCCTGAAGAATTAATATTCTTGACAGCCTACACTTCGATTTCATGATCATTATCACAATATCCTTGAAGTATGTCCCCTTCTTCCGTGGAAAACCCAAGGGTGTCAAGCATGTTGGGCCAGCACTTGTGCCCAATGGTACGTATGGCCTCGCAACATGCATGGCCCAAATACGTCTCGCCGTTGATGAAGAACAAGATTACTTCTCCGGTGCATGATTGAAGCTGGATCAGAGAGTCCCAGCAATTGGGCGATTCATCTTTGTCCTCCAGTTTTAATCGTGCTTTGAGACTCTGCCTTGTCTCTGGGTGAAGAGGTCGTGCTTCGATACTCGTGGAGGTTAGGGTAAAGGCTAGAAGAAAAGTGAGGAGGAAGAGGGCAAAGGGGTTGGCCATTTTGAGGTGAGAATAAACTTTGGGTATGAAGTTTGCACTGAAATGGTGATGATATTTATATAATGTTTATGGTGAAAAACGTTACTTGAAATGGGAGTTGAGAGAGTTCAAATGAATTATTTTGTACTTGAGGGAAACTGAGGAGATTGATGAATTTATTTAGGGTAAACAATAGTAATTAATGCGTAGAAAGATAAAGGGCACTTCTTTTATTCCTCAAAATTTGTTTGGTTGTGATGGAAGTAAAGGAAAGTCAACATAATTAATTAAATTATTTAGTTAGGCTAGTGACTTAAATTAATTATTTGAAATAACTGCCACCTCTCGTTCTCTCCAAATCTCTCAAATCAAATAAATTATAACACCGCATAAAACCCTACGAATCAAGTGACATTAACAACCTCACGATGCACTTCCCTTTACCCTTGGGCTTGGATTCGATCCGGTCCCTTATCAACCTGTTCAAAAAAAAAAAATTATAACACCCGACTTGGCAATTATACGGAAGTAATGGCCTGAAAAATACTTAAAATTGCTGATTGGACTAGCCTTGCACCTTCTTTGGGCTGAATTAAGCCCAAAGATACCCACATTCAAATGGCAATATTAGTTTGCCAATCATATCAGTATGTAGAAGTCGCTGTTCCAAGTATAACACCCGTATGAAGTGAAAAGGAGGACTGCCTCAACTGAGCCCATTAATTGCATCCAAATGCACGAGCTCGTGGCCCAATAGATAGTTCATGCCTCAAGTCGAAGAGGCATCTAGTCCTAAGTTGGACTCAGAAAATTAGACCATTGTTGCTATTTATCTCACTAGTTGTAGTTATTACAACTAATAGGATTGTTAAGCCACTAAATTTCTATTTAATTAAAGGATTTTCCTATGTTATACTCGAGAATAGAATAAGGGTGTAATAAATACACCTTTTCATAATTAATTTTTATTAAAAATATAAATGTTGATTTTTATTTAATTAATTAATCAATTAAAATTATTCAAGTGTCAATAATATTGAAATATATGTCAACTTTTATAATTTTTAATGTAAATTAATTACAAAAAGATACATTTATTATACTCTTAATCTATATTCTAAGGATACAAGTTAGACAAACACTTAATTAAAATTTATGTTTCTTAAATAGATAATTATCTTATCTAAAAATATTAGTTTATAAATTATTTTTTAATTTATTAAATAATAAATATAAGTTGTTATATCAATTATGAATTAATTATTTTTAATAATCAAATTAAATAAAATCAATATTTTTTTACATAGTTTTGGTAATCCTAACAATTCTATTGGTAGCGAAAACCACACCTTCTTTTTCCAACCATCCCATGAATAGGCCATGATCAAAAAGGAAAATACTAATAATGATGAAAATCCATTGATAGCAAAGTTAATTATTCTCTTGGGTGTTTTTGGATCAATTTACCGGCACCTCAAAATTAATTTCTCTTTGTTTTGGTTAGTTTAGCATTTGATGAGCAGAAAAGTTGTTGCTACAAGAACTCAATTCTATAATTCCAAATATGCTTCCTTCTTACACGCTGCAGCAGCCTGCAGGGCAAAACGGCAAACGGATGGGAAGAAGGCAGAAATATTTCTGATGACCGGTTTTTTTGCATAAGAATGAATGCCCAATTAAATTAAAGACAATAAATAAATTAGGATGGAATAGAATTCATAGAAAGTGGTATCTGTATCTGTTTTCTTGGGATAAGGAAAATAATTAATCACTGTAACTTTTGGTCAGCGTGGACTCGTAAGCATATTCACACCTGATCTGCGTTTACGTTCATAAGATCCAGAAGAAAGAAAAATCTAAACGTAATCATATTTTCTTTGTGTAGAGAATTTTGATATTGAAAAAAAAAATAATTAAGAAGATAGGTGAATTAAATATGTTTACACCAATTTTTGCAAAAAAAATAAAATAATGCTACGTGTCATCCATGTTGGCAAGAATTTCATTGGTTGAAAGTAGTTGGAGTAAATCTCTCTGGATAAAGTTCAGTGGTTATTTTCACAACGATAGTGAAGTCGTTCACTTGTTGCAAACTTCTAAGAAGATAATCAACAGTATCAACAAATTAATCAGTTTGTTTCGGATATCATGTTATCGTTGGTTTTTAAGATTGCTACCACAGATCTCCAAGCATACTGTCAAGAGGTGTTTATTGCCATAAGTATGTAAAGAAGAAACGAAATAAAAGACCAACCTCTCACACAATTAGCTCAATGCTATCTACATTTTAGTTTTACAAGTAATGTCTTAGTTTCGATCCAACTTTCTTAAACAGTTTTCTTAGTTAAGTTTTTAGCTCTACACTGCCATTAGTTTTAGCTCTAATTTTTGTTATTTCGTTGTGAACATCTCCTGTTAATGTATTTAGTTTTTTGCAATTCAATTTACTGCACTTTTGCCCAAAATTCATCTTCTTAGTTTCTTTTAAGTTTAGTTTTATACTTCAGTTTTTATTTTGTTTTCTACGTTTTCATGCTTTTGCAGTGACATCACACTTCCTTTCTGCAATTTAGTTTTTCTGTCATGTACTCTCTTTTTTCTCTTTTCCTTTATTTTTCTCTTTTATTTCAATAAGCAAACTAACATTTTGACCTCAGTTGTGGGAAGTCTCTAATGTTCTTCTAGGATAATTATTTATGGACCTTTATACAAGAATGTATCTCAACTTTTGCGACAATCGTCTTATCAGAGCGTATCTCATAATTTATTTAATCGGTGCTCTTCCATCAACTCGCAACTGAGTTCTACGCTTAGAAGTAGTGAAGGTCACCGAGAATCTCTCTTTCTCACTTTGAGCAAAACGAGTGACATGCCTTTGCAATTTTATTTGTCACACGGTCGAAAAAAGAGATTTTGAAGATAACAAAATATAAAAAAAATTATTTCACCTATTGGTTTTATGATAGATACAAATCTTATATTGAAACTTACATATCTATTTTTCACATTGTATTATGAGTCCTATGACTGTTCAAAACTACACAAGGATAGGGCATTTTTAAGCTCATTTATTAACTTAAAATTCACATGATAGATCAAACCTACACGTAAAGAAGATCTCATAACTTCATAGCTTGAGATCTACATAATAGATTGAACTTGTACATGAGGAGGACTATTAACTTTGTAACTTGAGATTCACATGAGAATAACATATTAAATGAAAAAACCTCACGTTAAAAAAAATATTACAAGGGTATAAAAGTTAAATATAAAAAATTTTATTTTATTTATTGTTAATTAGTTTTATTTTGAAGACATAGTGTGTTAAAATTAATCGACATATTCAATTTTTACATTTTCATTCATTTTTTAATTAATCAACATGAAAATTAAAATAAAATTATTCAGTTTCTTTATTACTATTAATCCATTTTGTAGGAATATTACTGGTAGTTCCTCAACTTGTGGAATGATGACGGGATCTTACAGCTAAGTTCATGTTGGTAAAACTTTTCAAATACAACCTTATATATAGTTACACCTATCCTAATTATCCAATTTTTTCTCAATCATTTTAACCATTCAATTAAAGTTTCCAATCTTTTCTCCTCATACCCGTGTAGTAAAAGAAAATTGAGATTTCGGATGGAGGAAATAATTCGTAGGGTTGAAATGACAAAATTTTAAAAGAGAAGAAAAACAATTGTGTGGCTGTAGTTTAGTGGTGAGAATTCCACGTTGTGGCCGTGGAGACCTGGGCTCGAATCCCAGCAGCCACAAGTTCGGTGGTTTTTTTTTTTTTTTTTGTTTCAAATCCCTCTTTCTCTGTCATTCTAATTAGAGAAATGTGTTCGTTAATCTTGATTGGGAAAATTTTATAGTCTCAATTTCAAAACTACACTAATTATCTAAAAATCGTTTACTTTTCTCCTGATGTTATTGTTGCATTAAGGCCTTCCATTGCTTATTTTGTAATTTTTAATTTTTAATATAATAATATTTAATATACAAAGTACACTACTTTCACCTTTTTTAACAAAATATTATAGTTATCATGTTATATGATATGGTAAATTTATAAGTATAACGTATTATTATTGATTATTTTTTATTTAAAAATTAATTTATAAATAAATATTTTTAAATATTATAATTAATTATTTTTAAATTAAATATTATAATTAATTAAAAAATTATAAATTAATTAAATATTAATAAAATTATGTGATTTTAAGATATTATTTTGTTGTCATAAACACACTACATAAAACAAGTGAGTAAAAACCTACTTTTAATCATTTACTTAATAAGTTTGTAGGTTTTAATTATTATATTATGATATTTTTAATTTTTAATTTTTACAAATTGAAAAACACAATTCTTACTTAATATCAGTTTATAATATTCATCAATTGATTGTTAACATTTCATTTATTCTGTTCTTGTCATCATTAATAGTTTATTAATTGATGGTTAACGAAATAAATATAATCCCATATTAAGTAAGGATTATTTTTTTAATTCATATAAATAAAAGATTAAAAGTATTATAATATAAATTTAAAAATTAAAATATATAAATTTATTAAAATTAAAAATTAAAAATAAGTTTTTACCAAATTATACTATTGCAATAAAAATATATATGTTATGCTCGCACGAATATATTTTTCTAAACACATGGCAATTTATAGAAGTCAGTGCCTGAATTCCGAAAATACCCTTCATCGCCTTCAGCCCCACGACCGCTACGACCGACAACGCCACCAACACCACCGCGACAAATTATAGTCCCCACAAAGAGTCCTCAATTTTTATTGTACTTACTATATATTTATGTATATATTGTATCCATGAGTAATATAGATCTCCTCTCCAGTCCTAATCTCCTCCTGTCTTTGTTAATATCGTTGAATTTTCTTAGATTCTTTTTCATCCTCAAAGTCACAGAAACTCTGCATGAAAATTGAGAAAGAAGTTTTTCAATTTTATCAGACTTACCCGTGTAACAGAAAGATTACAGAGAGAGAGAGACCCACTTGGTAGAGAACTGGGTCTCTCTCAAGAAAAGAATCCATCAGTACCCCCCCCAACAAAACAGCTTCCTTTTCCTGTTACCCATTTATTAATTATTACAATTGTCTTCATATTTTATTGGGACCCTGTATTTTCTCTTTATATTTGTTTCTCTCTTCCTCTCTCACCGTCTCCATCTCTATTCTTCTGGTTTTTGTTCATTGTACCATGTGGGGGTTGGTGTTCCTTGTAATGGGTGCATGAGAGAGAAGGGGGAGAGAGAAGAAAGTAAAGCCGCTTTCTTTGGGGGTTTTAGGTGATGAATGGGAGCACAGATTGGTGTGTTGAAGTGGGTTTCTCTTGTTTTTGATCCATTGAATTTGTAGTGTACGTTTGCTTGGTGTTGTGATTTGATGGATACAAAAGGGAGGCTCATTGCCGGTTCTCACAACAGGAATGAGTTTGTTCTTATTAATGCTGACGAGGTTGCTCGGGTAAGTGCCTTTAAAATCTTTGTTCTTGAGTTCTTTGTCACTAAGATTACTGGAAAGTGAAGAAATTTGATGGAATAAGAGCTTGTAAATGAATTGTTTCTTTTCCCAACTGTGCTCCTTTGCATATTGTTCTCTCTCTCTCTCTCTCTCTCTCTCTCTCTCTCTTCAGTTTTCCTTTCTACGATTCTCATGACGATGAGATTTGGATTCATTTCTGAGAATCTTAGCTTAACCTCTGATTTCTTTAGGTTATTCAGCATTTACTGAAATTGTTCTCTTTCTCAGATGAGACTCAAGCTCATTTGCCCTGTTTTCTTCAGCATGTTTGAGTCTTACTTCCCCGGAAAATGTCGGTTCTTTTTATGTTATTTATTTTCTTGTGAACTATGTTTACAAAGAGCCTGGATTGAACTAAACTGGATTCCATAATTTATTTCTTGTTAGTCCAATTTTGTTAATAGTTTCTAGATTTGGGAGCTGGTCGATGCAACCAGTGCATGAAAATTTGCAGTATCTTTTCCACAATTTCTAAAACTATTAATTAGGTTTCACGTGAAGCTTTAGTGTTGATGGTTTGATTTTTTCAATTTTCTTGATTTTATTGAAATTGACATTTTCATTGCTTCCATGAATTGCAGGTTACTTCTGTGAAAGAATTGAGTGGGCAGATTTGTCAGATCTGTGGGGATGAGATAGAGATTACTGTTGATGGGGAGCCATTTGTTGCTTGCAATGAGTGTGCATTCCCTGTGTGCAGACCTTGCTATGAATATGAAAGAAGAGAGGGTAATCAAGCATGCCCTCAGTGTAAAACCAGATACAAGCGCATTAAAGGTGAGATTCACCTATTTCATCTTTTTGTACAGAATCCTGTGTGGGAGCTTGTTGATAGTTATGGTTATTAACAATCTGACCACTTCCAGGGAGCCCCAGAGTTGAAGGGGATGAAGAAGAGGATGATATTGATGATTTGGAGCATGAGTTTGATATTGACAGGGGAGATCCTCACCACATTGCTGAAGCCATGCTTTCTTCTCGACTTAATATTGGGCGTGGTTCTCACCCCAATATCTCTGGGATCAGCACCCCAGCGGAGCCAGATTCTGTCTCTGTTGCTGGAGAGATCCCTCTCCTGACCTATGGGCAAGAGGTATATTGCTTATAGTATTAATTTGGCACTTTCTGGTACTAACTTGGTGATTCATGTGTCTAACAATCTTCCATTTTTTTTATCTAAGGATGTTGGAATATCTCCTGATAAGCATGCTCTTATTATTCCTCCATTTATGGGTCGTGGAAACCGTGTCCATCCTATGCCAGTTCCAGATTCTTCCATGACTGGTATGTTAATTTCAGATGATTCGCTGTGATGTTGATGTACCAAATTTTAATTGTGTTGAGGTTAGATTTTTTTGTTGCTTAATTGGCTTCTTTTCTTGGTGTTCCAGTGCCACCTAGAGCTATGGATCCCAAAAAAGACTTGGCAGTTTATGGGTATGGAACTGTTGCATGGAAGGAAAAAATGGAGGACTGGAAGAAAAAGCAGAATGAAAAACTTCAGGTTGTTAAGCACGAAGGAGGAAATGGTGGTGATGAATTTGATGATCCTGACTTACCAAAGTAGGTGCCTTTACCATCTCTCCTTTGTGAATTATTTTTGGCACTGTCTGATCAATAAAAACCTGTTTTCTATGGCTGTGGTCTTTATTCTTTAGGTTGTGATGGTTATCTTATTTATAAGTTTCCTTAATACCACCACTGAGATGCAAAAATATGGCTATCTGCATATGCATTCCTCTTTTTATGATCAATAGCTAGCCTGTCTTTCACTTGTGCAATCATATGTATTGTTTATAACATCCATTTTTGTTTGGTTATGTGCTTATATTCTTCTTGGTCACTTTAACTGAGAAGACTTGTCACTTGTTTGTTTCTTTAGGATGGATGAAGGCAGACAGCCTCTTTCAAGGAAACTACCAATCCCTTCTAGCAAGATAAATCCATACAGAATGATAATAATGCTTCGGCTGGTGATTCTTGGCCTATTTTTTCAGTATAGGATTCTTCATCCAGTGAATGATGCTTATGGACTGTGGCTCACGTCAGTGATTTGTGAAATATGGTTTGCTGCATCATGGATACTAGATCAATTCCCTAAATGGTACCCAATTAAGCGAGAAACATACCTTGATCGATTATCATTGAGGTAATTCCTCCTTACCTTCTACTTTTTGTGTCTTTATCTGCTATCTCTGATGTGTTCACATCTTCTTAGCCTCCTCATTTGTGTGTCTATTGTGTGTGAGTAAAGCCTATTAAGTAGGGGAGAGAAGAAAATATTTGCTCTTATCTACAAAGCTTTTACATATCAAATTGGGCTTCCAGGTATGAGAAAGAGGGGAAACCTTCTGAGCTGGCCGCTATAGACATATTTGTCAGTACAGTTGACCCAATGAAAGAGCCACCACTTATCACGGCAAATACAGTTCTGTCTATCCTTGCTGTAGATTACCCAATTGACAAAGTTGCCTGCTACGTCTCAGATGATGGTGCTGCCATGCTTACTTTTGAAGCACTGTCAGAGACATCTGAATTTGCGAGAAAGTGGGTTCCATTCTGTAAGAAGTTTAACATTGAACCTCGTGCTCCAGAATGGTATTTTGCTCAGAAGGTTGACTATTTGAAAGACAAAGTAGATCCATCCTTTATTAGGGAACGTCGTGCCATGAAGGTTTGTAACCTTTCTCCTCTTATTTTTATGCATGTAGCTGGCAAATTTCTTCAGAATTTCAGCTATTCCATATTATGGAAGTTAACAGAATACAAGTAATGGCATTACTATAAAATTTGGTGAGGCAGAAAATTCACATATTTCAATGGAACAAAGCAACTGATGAATTTGTATAATTGTTGCTAAGGATACAGTCTGCATGGTAAATCTTATTTATAAGAAGTGATCTCTTTTCATTACATGAAATGATTGTTCCATAACTGGTGTTGGTAATGTATTCATACAGAGGGAATATGAAGAGTTCAAAGTTCGGATAAATAGTCTGGTTGCGATGGCACAAAAGGTTCCAGAGGATGGTTGGACAATGCAGGATGGAACACCATGGCCAGGGAACAATGTCAGGGATCATCCTGGAATGATTCAGGTGGAGGTTTTTCTTTAAATACAATTTCTGCTTTTTAATTCTAATGCATGCATGCAGCTAGTCTCAATATGCTTGACATGATGGAAAACAAAATTTTTTTTTAAAAAAAAATCTCTACAGGTTTTCCTGGGTCATAATGGTGTCCATGATGTTGAAGGAAATGAATTGCCTCGTCTGGTATATGTCTCTCGTGAAAAGAGGCCAGGATTTGATCACCATAAGAAAGCTGGAGCCATGAATGCTTTGGTATCTCTCTATTGCACAGCTCCACATTTTCCTTTTGCCCTGCCCTCTTCTACCATTTCTCATTTTCTCTAATTATTAATCTTTTGGCTGAAAAATGAAGGTGCGGGTCTCAGCTATCATCTCAAATGCTCCTTACCTCCTGAATGTCGACTGTGATCACTACATAAACAACAGTAAGGCTCTTCGTGAAGCTATGTGCTTCATGATGGACCCCATTTCAGGAAAGAAAATATGCTATGTCCAGTTTCCTCAGAGATTTGATGGGATAGATCAACATGATAGATATTCAAATCGAAATGTTGTGTTTTTTGATGTATGTAAACTTCTGGGCTGATTTTGATGTATTTCTTTTTACTGCACAAACATCTTCTCAAGAAGAAAACGTAACATCTTTCATTTTTTGATAACAGATCAACATGAAGGGACTTGATGGGATTCAAGGACCTATTTATGTTGGGACAGGATGCGTATTCAGGAGGCAGGCACTATATGGATATGATGCTCCTGTCAAGAAAAAGCCCCCTAGAAAGACATGTAATTGTTGGCCAAAATGGTGCTGCTGCTGTTGCTGCTGCAGATCTAAAAAGAAGAACAGGAAAGTGAAGTCAAATGAGAAAAAGATGACCAAAGATGTTAAGAAGCAGATACGTTCCCTAGAGAATATAGAGGAGGGAATTGAAGGTAAGAATTGGCTTTCCACATACATTCATATTCATATAATTTTTTACAGAATTTCCATTACGTCATGTAATTCCTGTGCTGGGGTTGAATCACCTGTTAATTTGGGCTGGTCTCCTTTCAAGGCTTCTTGCCTCATTTAGTTTGATGTTTCATGACTAAATGTACCTAGCCTAGTCTTGAACTTCATGCTCTTGTAATTGAGGTTACCCTTGTTCTTAAGTGTGTGGGAGAATACTAGAGTATATTCAATTCAAGAGAAGAACCTTATCATTTATGTTGTTTGGGTTGCCTTTTTCAGGCGTAGATAATGAAAAGTCATCACTTATGCCACAAATCAAATTCGAGAAGAAATTTGGGCAATCTCCAGTTTTTGTTGCTTCAGCACTTATGGAAGATGGTGGAGTTCCAAGAGGAGCAACTGCTGCATCACTCTTGAAAGAAGCCATCCATGTCATCAGCTGCGGTTATGAAGACAAGACAGAATGGGGGAAAGAAGTATGCAAAAATTGTTCTGAATTTCATAGTTTGTGTTTGAAGCTTATGTTCTGAAAGTATTCTCAACTCACCGACTTCAATTCTTATCCAGGTTGGATGGATATATGGGTCTGTTACAGAGGATATATTGACAGGTTTCAAGATGCACTGCCATGGATGGCGATCAGTGTACTGCATGCCCAAAAGGCCTGCATTTAAGGGTTCAGCTCCCATAAACCTTTCAGATCGTCTACACCAGGTCCTGCGATGGGCTCTGGGATCTGTTGAGATTTTGTTGAGCAGGCACTGCCCAATATGGTATGGGTATGGCTGTGGTTTAAAACCATTGGAACGATTTTCATACATAAACTCAGTTGTTTATCCTTTGACATCAATTCCGTTGCTTGTGTACTGTACATTGCCTGCTGTGTGTCTGCTTACTGGGAAGTTCATTGTCCCTGAGGTAATTCCTAGGAACATATCCCTCTTTACTGCGTTCTGCCTAATTTTTTCAGGAGAGCTGTTAGAAAAAAGAAATCATCAGAAATGAGAAGTTTGAGCTAATGCTGGTTTTCTCTTACGCAGATTAGCAACTATGCAAGCATCCTTTTCATGGCCCTTTTCATTTCCATTGCTGCAACTGGTATCCTTGAAATGCAGTGGGGAGGCGTTGGCATACATGACTGGTGGAGAAACGAGCAGTTCTGGGTGATTGGTGGTGTCTCATCGCACCTGTTTGCTCTCTTCCAAGGTCTGCTTAAGGTCTTAGCCGGTGTTAACACAAACTTCACTGTCACCTCAAAAGCAGGAGATGATGGAGAATTTTCGGAGCTCTACCTATTTAAGTGGACATCTCTATTGGTCCCTCCCATGACATTATTGATCATCAACATAATTGGGGTCATAATTGGGGTTTCAGATGCAATCTCCAACGGATATGACTCGTGGGGACCTCTCTTTGGCAGGCTTTTCTTCTCCATCTGGGTGATTGTCCATCTTTACCCATTCCTTAAGGGGTTAATAGGGAAACAGGACAGGCTTCCAACCATCATCATCGTCTGGTCAATTCTTCTGGCTTCAATTTTCTCCCTTCTGTGGGCTCGGATCAACCCATTTGTTGATAGAGGAGGTATTGTTTTAGAAGTATGTGGGTTGAATTGTGACTAAAGTACCCGCATATGTAAGGTATAGATAACCTGTTCTGCGTTTCATGAAGAAAATGTCATAAGTGGACCTAGCTTGGTCCAAGATAAAGGATCTTCCTTGGCACAGGAGTGCCGTATGCAAGAATTGTTGTGTAGACAGATGGCATCGTGAGGGAACACAGCGGCATGGTGTTTGTAGATACAAAGAATGGGATCTCAAATTGTTGAGTTTTGATTGATTTTTTTCATTACATGTGGTTTTTGTAGGGTGCCAAGGGATTAAATTCATAAAACCTACCAATCCCTAGTCCCCTAGAGAAGATAAAAGAGAGTTTATATATATTCATAATCCATGACCATATTCCCTTCTTAGTAAGGAAACACAATAATGAGACCATCATCAATTGTATGTCAAATACTTCTAATGTATTTTTCTTATTTATTCATGATCTATCGCTATATTCCTCTTTGAAAATCTTTTCCTTGTAGTTTAGAAACCAATGGTGTTCAAAAATAGGAAACTAAGAGCATGTTTGATAAAACTTATAAGCACTTCAGGTTTTTGATATTATTTATATTTCATAAGTTTAAATTTTTCTTTTAAAAATTTATATTTTTTTTAAATATTAAAAATACCTTAATCAATTAATTTAAAAAGATTTCAAATTTTTACTTTTTCTAATTTTTTTTACTCATTTCTTATTCACTTTTTTTTTTTTGACAAGAAAACGTTAATTAGGTGTTACTATTTATTTATAGATCAGTATTAGAGTCGAAACAGAATGAACTCCATATAATGCTTTTTAAAGTAACATAGTTCATCTTTGTGCCACATGAAAAAATTCACTTATTTTTTATTTATTTTTTATTATTTTTAAAAATAATTTTTAAATTTTTTGCCTAATAAAAATTTAAATTTATAAATCATAAATAATACTAAAAAAATAAAAACTCTAAAAACCTCTACCAAACAATCCCTAAGCTTATAATGACAATATATTGAAAATGCTATAGTAACGTTTCATGATCCATGACTATTACCTAGGTAAGTAAACACAACACAAGTATAATTAATTTATGTTAAAATTTACAACAAATTTAACAACTGTCAGTGCAGAAATTTTCGAAGCCCAGTTGCTGAAGATAAAACAGCAGAAATGTGCAGAGTCCAGAACCTTAAACATCTTTTCTGGGAAAATAAGAAAAAAATGACAGTCAAATCATTTTTAATTTTTCAGAACAGTGTGAATTAATAGGGCACCAGGTGTGCTCATATGTAGTAAGTAAATCAGAAATGGTCACTATATCTGTTACTGCATTCCTTGCGAAGATCTGGAAACATGAGAAAACTGAAGCTAATGTTTCCTGATATCCTCAAGAGCACGCCTCTTAGAGGATGGTTTCGGTGCAGTCTTGTTGCCAACTTGCTTCCACATAGGGCTCAGCATATTCTCCTTCATAGCATCCATGGTGAGTTTCTTTTGCAATCTAGGAATCATACTAGTTCTGCTCTTTCTTTCCATAACTGAAGAATTCATTTGCTTCACAAAGCAACCATTGCTTCCCTCCTCTTTTACTGCATTTGTATGTTCAGGTGATAAATTCTGGGGCTGCATAAAGTTTTCTTCAGAAACATTGTCTGCAAAACAACCAAAAAAGAACTCAAGGAATTAGCTACGTATCTATAGACAATAAAGAAAACATATTTAAGGAATGAAAAGACAGTATACCTTTACCAACATCTGAATTCAAGAAAGGTTGAGAATGATCTGTCACTGGCACATTTAGTCCTACTGCACCTTTGATAAAATTCACTGTTTCTTCTGTGTCTTCAACTTTATCCCCTTGGATTGCAAACTTTACATCTTGAACATCAGCTTCAGCTAAATAATCCTCTTTTAGGTCTCTTGAATCAAGTCCTGAAACAGGATTATCGAAAGATGAGGAAAAGTGAGGACTTGCATCATCCTTAGTAATCGTCCTGTCTGAGGAAAAATGAGCCTGTGTCATCTCAAGAACATCATCCTTATAATTCTCGTGACCAGTGAACCTTTGCTCAACGTTAGAAGTGTCAGCCTCTACCTTGATTTCTTCTCTATCTTTGCTGTTAGCCTCAAACGAAACAACTGGGTGAGTAAATTTCAGCCCAGTGATATCTGCTGCAATTTCACGTTGATTCCCACCAAATTCCTCTTCTAAAACTTGCACAGCATCTTCTTCAATGACCTTATCTTCAACTTTCTCTGAAGATTCTCCAATCAATTTGGTTTTTGGAGTGCCTATCTCTGAACAGGTAACTTCACTACTATCCCCATCCAGGCCATTCTCACAAAACAAATTCATCTGCCAACTAGTGAAAATCTGTGATTCGTCAGGATTCTCTCCTTTGTGTTCTGTAATATCAACAGAAACAACATTATTAACAAATGCAAATTGTGAAAATTAAAAGGACAGCAAAAATCTCTACAGTCTGCTGTCGTTGTAATGAAGGCAACTAGCACTTACCATTGGGTTTAGCAACAACAATCTCAGGTTCCAATGAAGAAACAAAGGCCAAATTTTCACAGCTTCGGACGTCCTTGGAGACTTCGGCAGAACTGTCAGACATGTAATCAGGCAAACCTGAACCACGTATTTCCTTACTCTCGGAAGCATCATTCTTCCCTTCATTGAAACATTGAGGCTCCTCTAAAAGAACCCTGTCAATGTCATCTATGAGTGTGGCTTTATGTAATGAATTTTTGTCGTCTTTAAATTTTTCCATGGCAGCTTCTTGAAGATCTGTGTTGCTCTTCTCTAGGGTGCAAGGGTCAAAATCATTCAAACCTTCGGCACTGTTCCTAGACCCAACTCTTTTCACTGTTGCAACCTCGTCATGCTCATTGATCGTGCCTCCATATGTAAGTTCATGTCCTAGAAAGGATAGAAATATACGCAGAGGTCATCAACTTGTAACAGCTAAATCACATCAACTTTGTGCAGAAACTGATTAACCATACCTATGTCCTCACTAGGCATCTCATTTCTTCCTCCATCACTTGGGACATCCGTAACTTGATAATGGGTTGTGTTTTCCTCTTCTGCATCTACATGAGTAAAAGAAGAAAAACAAAAACTCAATTAGTTAATATACCCTTACCAAAAAGAGTTAAAATACGCCACCATGCATCATGTGTTTGATGGAATTCAATATGAGAGATGCACATGAGTAAAATATCTAATACACCATTTCTACCTATTTTTCTGCTCTTCCTTGTGGCGGAATAGTCTTCACAAAAAGGCTGTTTCACATTACCGTCACAGCTCCTTTCTCCAACCAGCTGTTCATGATCTTCAAGCTTCTTTGAAAAAAATTCTGAATTAAGCGTGGTTGGTTCCACCAATGACAATGCTTTACAACTAAGAACAATACTGTCTTCAATTTTTGCTTCATTTTCAGAACATTGAGCACCATCAATTGCACTTTCCAATTGCTCTAACACCAACCGAGGCAAAGAGACTTCTAGTATATCACCAAGCAGTGTTCTTTCATCCCAATTATTAGTGCAAATTGCCTCAAAATTTTCACGTATCTCTTTGCTGTCTGTTTGATGATCATTAAAGGACAACTTGTTGCTAAAACCTGAAACTGTCAGAAAGAAAATTGTTATGTTTGAAATATATTAGAGTTAAAATGAAAACGTGCTTGTAGAACTCTAGGAGAACAAAAGAGGAAAAAAAGAAAATAATCAGCCCACTTTTCTCCAGATCTTTACATATAAATATGATTTTGGCACGATAATTTTTTTTAATCAACGATTGGCATGATAAATGGTAAATTTCATTTTAAATCTTTTTGGAAAATCAAGTTCATAAGATGGACATATCAGCTGAAAATTATCTAGCCTTCAGAATTGTAACAATGAAACTCATTTCATTTGTTCCTGCTTTTCAAAAAATCTAAAATAACAGGAAAGGGACTTGGTCAAGAGAACTAGGATATTGACGAAGAGAACATCCAAACAACACAATCAGGGCAAAAATGAAGTGCACTTTAGCCAGGAACTATATAACAAATCATTAAACAAACTCACATTCACATTGTGAAGAAACATCAGGATTGTAAGCATTTTCAACGCTGTTAGCATTCCTCTCTTCTGCAGCAACAGAACTGATTGCTCGCCTCTCTGAAAGGTTATCCATACATTTCTTTGGCATTTCCTCGGGCAATTTATTGAGACAACCCTCAGGGTCTTCATTTTCTTTCTCCTTTGTGAGTTGCCTGTTGATATTGCCTGAAACTGAAAGGAGAGTGTCATACATAAAAAATTTCCTATAGAATGAGCATGATTAATCTCTTAACAGACATCAAATTATAATCTTCCAGTACTTAATGCCTCTTTGAATTCATTTTCCAATGTTTTTACTTCATGTTTATTCCTCTGTACGTCAAAAATTCCATGTCCTGCAATGCTCATAATGTTTTCAACACTGCAAATTGTACCTGAAACTGCCATGAAAAAGAAACTAATCAAACAAATGCTTTAATCCAATAAATTGGCATTCTTCATGCAGTGAATAATGATATTCTGTGAAGGTAATGATTGTATGGTTAGAAGAAAAGGGATTCACAGACCTTGACTCTTCTGTTCAAACATAAAAGGAGTTGCTCCAGTATGGTCAATGACACTCCATTGGATTTTTGTAACCATTTCTGTACTAGTTTCAGGAGCAAGCTTAACAGCACTTTCAGTTTGTATAATTCTTTCTCCATCAGAAGACTTGGATAAGCATACTTCATCAGCTTTCTTCAAGGCAACTTCAAAATTGCCCTTTGAAATGTTACATTCACTGCTTTCATTCAACTGATCCCCCATAATTACCTCCTGAACAATTTTGTCACTAGTCATATTGGCATATTCTAAGTTCATGAACTTTGTATCTTCTTGAACAGGAGTCCTCTCACCATCAGCACTCACCCTATCACTTTCCAAGTCCTCATTCTCACCTAATGTTGGTTCATCTATCTCAAATACATTTCCCAAATCCAATAGTTGAGAAAGGCCATCTGCATGGTAACAACAACTAAATAAATAACCAAGAAAAATGGCATGACTTTGTTCAATTAGGACATCAAAGTCCAATTAAACTCACTTACCTGAAGTGTCTTCTTGATTGAATGAAGAGAAATCATTGGCCAGCATGGCCATGGCAGAAGAAAACAAGTTTTCATTACTACTTTCAAATTCCACTGAAGTTTCAACCAAATTAGTATCACAAAGAGTTTCCCTTCCATTGAAAGACCGATAGGATTGGTAATACTTAATTTCATTCTGCATCAGTCTCTCTTCGCCGTCAACCATCATACTGGTATATTCAAATGTTACTCCAGATTCGTGAACAGAATTTTTGTTTCTTGTTTGGGATTCTTCTTTCTTTTTTGGGCTGCAGTCTTCACATGCCAGAATGCTGAACCCATTTTCACCTCTACTCATTGTGGTTCCAACTGCTATTAAGAAAAAGCAAGCAATCAAATCAGCTTAACCCAGTTAGAAGTACATAAAAGCTGAAAAATAATCATGAGAGGGAGAAATAATTTCACATACCTTGGCTTTGTGGTGTAGGTCTGGATGCACTTGTGGTTCCCTGAATTTCAACAATCTTTTCAGAACAAGATCCAGCAGGAGCATGGTCAGACTCAACAGAGGTTTCTTTCTTGTCAGTAGCCTTATGGAAACTTTTAAATTGAGGAAGTTTTTCTTCTTCAGAAAAATCAGTTGAGTTTGTTTCCTCAGCATTCTTCAATGGAATTTGAGAAACCATCTTCAACACAGTACTTTCACAGAGTTCACTTTGATCCCCATCTGGTTGAGAAGCAATGATGCCAATATCTTTTAATTCTGCTAAGATCTGATCCTGTTCAATAGGAGCTTTGATATGTTCACCATCTACCTCACCACTTGAACAGAACTTGCTTTCACAGCTAGTTAGCTCTTCAGTCTCCAATCCTTGTTGCAAGTCTAAGGGGTTCAGGGTATTACCTGTGCACTCTAAGCAAGCAATGGAATTAAAATAAGCCATTTATTAACGAGATAAAAGTAAATATGCTAACTCACCTGCAGGATCTTTTTGGTCGATAGCTGAAAAACCGTCAGCAACAGAGATTTCTCCCGAAGAAACCTTGTCAACTTTACTTTCAGATTCTTCCTGCCTAGAGTTCATAGAATCATCAGTGGCATTAGTGGCTCTTCTACCAAGAGATTGGCATAACTGGCCATCCATTTCGCTTTCAAGTTCAACAGGATCACCCTGGACTGGAATTACTTTGTCATCTTGAGTCTGTTGGCTGTCCTCATCAAACCCAGATACATCATCAGACTGAATGTTTCTTGGTTTTACTTCTTCCGTCACTACTTCACAACACATCACATTTTCTGGATTGTTGACAGTAATTGTAGCTATCCATGCGAGGCCTTCAAATGACAAGATGTAATGAATAAACAAATGGCTTGATCTAATAAATATGCTACTTTCAAACAATTAAATGTTCCATAACCATAAAGCATAAATAAAAAGGAAAGATGGAGAGATTTTATACACCTTTGTTTTCAGGGGAAGGTATAGACAAATTTACCGCAGATTCTCCATTTTTAGTCCATTGGGCTTTTGTACTCTTTTCTATACCAGTTTCTTTGGTAACAAGATGGGATTCATCAGCAGTTTCGTGCTTTTCAATAGCTACAACAATACTTTCTGCTATTGCACTTCCTTCTAGGAAGATGCCTTCTCCGCCAGAAGAATTAGCAGAACTAATTTCTTCTTCTCTTGTCAAGTAGGTTTCAGAATCAACCTTAGAACTGCCACCGTCATCAAATTTGTCAACGTGATGCTTGATATTTACCTCCTGAACTAGTTCAACAGCAGTCATACTGGAGTCATGAAATTTCATTAAGTTCTGGTCCTCTTGGATATAAGTTTCATGCTCCTTGGCATCAGCATCATCACTTTTATAGTTACTGTTCTCAACTATTAACAGTCCTTTCTCCGGTGCAACCAAAGTTTCATCTATAAACAATCAGCGCATTAGCAAAACTGATAGCACATGCTTACATAAAACCTCAAAAGCAGAAAACTTACCTGAATTATACGCTTGGTCAGCAGATGAGAGGCCATCAGCTTGGAGGATAACATCAGAAGAATCGACGTTGATATCATTAATTTCAATTTCTACCAGTTTAGACTCAACCAAATTAGCATCTGCCGAAGCACATTTTCCATTGAGAGAATGACATGACTGATAATTGTCTTCAATGTCAACATTGTCACCACAGGCCAGTTTATCTTTGTCACATCTCACTGAACTGTATTCTTTGCCATGCAAAGGTGATATATGACAAGGCTGCCATATTTCTTGCTCTGTAGACAAACTTCCCAACTTTACTGATGTAGAAGCCTCCTTTCTTTGTTCCTTTCCGATTTTAGAACTCCCGTCAAGGCATTCAATTGTCCACTGGCTTGTATCCAAATCAAGTTGTTTTGCATCTGCTGCACCTTCTGGTTCTGCCAAGCTTTCTTCTCCAGCTGGTAGTTCTTTGGGAGCTAAAACACCATATAGAGATGCAATCCCCTCGTCAACAGTTGCCATTCTCCATCTGATTTCTTGCTTCTTCTGAACTTCTGTAGACGTTGGACTAGCAGGGGCAAGTGTAACTGAGGTGCTTGAAGAGGCAGTACAGGTCCTCCTTGAGGGCTTTTCAGTTACAGGACCAGACTCAGTCATTTTAGTTTCTCCTTCCAGAATAGATTCTTCTCCTTTGTTAAGTGACCCATCTTTCTCAACAGCAGCAATTTCATCCTTTTTAGAGCTTCGTGCTGAATTGTGTTTGGAAGTGTTTTGACCAGATCTTGGGAATTCTTTAACCACATAAGCATTTTTCTCTGGGCGTCTTTCTCCTTGAATTGCCAACTCTGTGTCAGCAGGAGCAACAGTTTTGTGGCGCCTGCTTCTTCTTGAGGGGCCCTGAGAAACTGAATTCCGCTTTTCCATATCAGTCTCATTATCATTTTCCTCAATAGCATCCAAGTCGCTATTTCTAACCCTTTTCCTTGTCTCCTTTTCCACAAGCAGTCCATCACTTCTCACCTTACCCTTTTTGGGCACAACAGATTTCCGTCTAGAAGCCTGTCTACTTAAACCTTTGGGTGGTTCTTCAAGAAGAATATCTCCCTCAGATTCTTCCTCAACCTCAGCTACATCCGTTTTACTTTGAATTGCTGAAACAATGGAGGCAGATTGAGGTTCGCAATCATTATCCCCTCTTGCCTTGCGTTTCGAACGCCTCAAACCCTTCCCTACTCCAGCACTATCTCCATTAACTGCATTGCTTTCAGCTCTGCCTGTCAGTGGGGCAGAAGATTTCCGTCTCACCACATTTCTTCCCAAAACTTTTGAAGGTTCATCGAGTTGAAGAACCCCTTCACTGCCTTCTGCAACAACAACAATTTTAGAATCATTATCCCCTTGTGCCTTACGTTTCGAACGCCTCAGAACCTTTCCTACTCCAGCACCATCTCCATTAACTGCATTACTTTCATCTCGGCCTGTCTGAACCGAAGAAGACTCTCGTCTCACCACATTTCTTCCTAAAACTTTTGAAGGTTCATCAAGTTGAAGAACCCCTTCACTTCCTTCTGCAACACCAGCAATTTTAGCTTCCCCTTGAACCGCAGAACCTTCTTTCCTCGACTGTGTCCTTGATCGTCTACTTCTGGAAACAACTTCAACTTTTTCAATCTCATTGCTTTCTATAGAATGATCCTCCATTCTATTATTCCTTGTTCTCTTTGGACGATTTCTGACCTTCTCATCTTCCTTAACCACACGGTCTTCTTCCTCCTTCGGATTCTTAGACATGGATGCTGCCATTGACTTCCTCCTTCCTACTCTCCTATGTAAAGAAACTTCATAGAAGATAACTTGATCCTCTGGACTAAATGTAACTTTCTTATCTTGTTTCTTAGCATCATCATCACAAGGTATTACACCTAAATTACTCAAGGGTGATTGTCCCTGCGAAACAGATTCTCCATTTTCCTGTTTAAAATCCAAAAGAATATGATATTAGTGACTATATTTGTGAACTCAATTAAAATTAAATTAAATTTTCTCATAGTATTTTTTTTTTTTTCATTTATAGTCAGGTGTCTCAAGCAAACACCTGAACCTAACCACTCCCAAGTCAATGTAACAGCACCGTACCCTTCCCACATCAGCTTGTTGCATTAATTTCCCTTGAACTTGAACCCTCATATTATTCAACATCTCATGAACCAAACAAGCTAAATTTACGCACCAGGCCTCATGGACTACTTGGTAGGTGCACCTAATGCCTTGACAATAATTAAGGCTTGAACCATGGCACTGCCATGCTACAATTCCCCATTCTCTACCCCCAAATTGTACTTGTTCAAGAAAAAAAAAAAAAACTAAATTTACCGTTAAAATAATTAGGGATTTACACAGAAAAACTAATAATTCTACTCTTTCCTCGGTCTTCCCTTAGTTTTCTCATCAACCAACCAAAAAATCAATACTTAAATGAAAAAATAACAGGAACATGACAAGGGAAGGATAAGCAACTTAAAAGGCAGAAATTTGCGAAATATATCACAAGGAAATGGGCTCCTCAGAGGGAAAAGAGAAGTCACCTTGTAGATCGAGGCCAGCCGATCCGCCATTTCAATATTCTTCAAGTTCGCCGGGACGCCATGCTTCTTACACAGCGCCTGAAGCTGCCTCCGATTCATGGTGTGAAAATCCATCTCTGGATGCTGTAAAAATGAAAATCTAATGGAAAATTCGAAGAGAACGCTCTTAAAAGACCATGGCGAAAGGAACAAGATTTCTGCGCTTCGGTTCTTAGGGTCGTTATTTAAAAATTTAAATTTAAAACGGCAGCTTTCCCGCTCTTCAAACTTCTTCCTTTTTTTGGTTTTTTTGGGAAGCCCGCTTTCAAACTTAAATGGAGAGGAGAAGAATGATTTAAATCCAGTTGCGAGTAGCGTACTCGCTAGTTGTTGTCTGAGTTGTCGAATGATGAGAGGGAGTGA